GGAGAACGTGTTGATTGTGTAAAGCGTTAAAGAGCCCGCTGGTGCCGGGGTGTGGTGGAGGGTCGTGTTTCGCGGTGGAGGGGACTGCGAGGACTTCGCCCCGTGGGCGGCTGTGGTGACCGTGTGGCCAAGCAAGCGGCTCGACACTACCAGGATTGGTGACGTGGGTGCCAGCGAAATATCTTCCTCTGCGCCGGTGCGATAATAATTCTGTGCAATTAGAAAAGGTGGCTTCGTGCTCTCTACAGAACTCCTCTCACTGACGCAACGTGACAGTGATCCAGCTCCCTCTTCCAACCAGGAGGCACTGGCGTGGGTGGTGCGGGCGCCAGCGAAACATCCCCCCGTGTCCCCGGCGTGACGACGCGCGCCCATGAAATCTTTTGGCCACGCGCTTGTTCCTCGAAAGTTGTCACCACGGTTCCCACGCCCCTCCGCCATCCGTCAGATTTGACTGAGATGTAGGGGCACGCAGCAGAGTCATTGCTGTCTGTTAGCACAATTCCAGAATAATCCCGGTGAACGCGCGGGCCGATCGGCGCGTTCGCCAAACACGCCGCGTCTGTGCCAAGCGCGTGCGACAGGCATGCCCCCTCGCGCGTGCGTGTGCCAGGCGTGCCCTGCGTGTAAGTGCAGACGATGCGTGTGGGCAGCGAGATCGGCGCTTGTGGCAGCTGGGAGTGAGCGATGGCAAAACGCAGAACTCCCCTCCCACACAACATTACATCACCGACCGGAGAGCCCTGGCTGGCAAAGGGGGGTGACGGGCGGGCCATTGTTTTGAGTTTTTGTTTGGGTCCAAGATATCGGCTTCACAACAGCCTTGATGCTGATCCAAAAGTCGGTGATGTCACGGTGAGGCTGCCAAGCTGGTTTGGAACACCACGTCTTGGCGGATTTTTGTTGCCAAATAGGGTATCTCGGTGCGTTCTCGTCTTTGTTGTCAAGGACGAATGCTGAGAGTGACTGCCCATGGCGTGGTGATGCACAGCAATGTCCCTTTTGCAAGCGACAGAAGGGAGAAGGGCCCTAGGTGCAACGCAGATGTGACGCTTCCTCCCGTGCACCCAGCTGCTCGGTTAACACATACTCGGTTAACACATACTCGGTTAACACATACTCGGTTAACGCATACTCGGGTCAGAGGCGTGCACTCACGCCGGTGTGACGCCGCTCTGCTCGCGACCGCCCGCCACGTCGGCCACTCGGACACGGGGTTTCACATCCACATTTTGCACCCACAAAAATACCAGCCACGATCAATCCACTGCCGGTTGAAGACCTTTCGCGAGTCATCGCCGTCCCTTGCAGTTCCGCTACGCGACAAGTCGCGCGCAGATGGATTCCTCCAATCACTTTATCTCCACGAGGAGGGAGACGTGTTCTCTGGCTCGACCTGTCCTTCAGCTGCTATTCTATTGTTAGTCTCGACCATAGTCGTCCCTTATCGCAGTGTGTCCGACCCAAATCCACAATCTCATTCCTCTCGTGTGCGTGTGTTTGGTCATGCATGTGTTCCTCGCTCTGTCTCGGTGTAATTTTAAGCATGCGTTTCTTCACGCTATCTCTACGCACATGAATAAAATCGTCACCCACGTGCGCGTTGTGCTGTTGGGATGAGGGGTGATGGCTTTATCCGGGCGCATTTCGCCGGGTATTAAATTTGGATAAGCGACGTGTAATGGTGGGGGAGGGGTGGATGAGGGTGAGCCGGGCAGGGCTGGGGAGAAGGGTGGGAGCCGTCTCCTACCCCGGTCCGTGGCTTCTTCACGGCAGGCGCAGGTGGGGACCCGGGACGGTGCTGGCCCCACCGTGTTGTGGCTCTGCGCGGCGTGATAACACGGGCGCTGGCAGGTGCACAATTGCCTGAATCAGCGGCTGCGGGTGGAGATGTGGGCCCGATAGCCGTACGGAACGCCAGGAATTCTTCTCATGTCCCCCCCCCCTCGCGGCGGCTCCACACGCTCCTCCACGCAACTACATCACAGACTCCATGGCCACAGTGGCTACAGCGTGGGCTTGGAGTCGCATCGACCCCCGTTCCTCCTTGTGGCGATCTGGGAAGAAGGCGACTTGTTGCTTATTTACGATGTTGCCTCCATTGACGAAGACGCGAATGATACCCGTGCAGTGAGAGGTCGTCCCAATTGTGCCCGGCGGGGTTTGACCCTAGGTTCCCGGCCTCAATGCCGGAGCCACGGGCCGCATTATTTTTAATACCAAAACCTCTTCTCGCCACCACTACGATCCCCACCGCCTCCCCGGAGTGGGGCCTCCCGGGACGCTGCGCGATCGAGGGCCCTCGACGCGTGGAGCCGGGACCCCCGGGTGGAGTGGGGGCCCGCGCTGGGTGCGTGAGAAGCGCTCGAGAGTGGAAGAGGGGCGCGAGTTTGTGAGCGTCAAGTGCTGGTGGCTGCGTGTGGGGAACTGTGGCGCAGTGGTTAGCGCGCTACAATGTGAACCCGGTGACCCAAGTTCGATTCCCGCTCACGGCCAACACCAGTGTCGATCATCTGAATCGATCCTGGGCCTCCCCTGGGTCGACTCGGCCTCAAATGAGTACCTTTTCGATGTGTAAACTTCACCACTGGGGAGACAAAGGCGGCCGGGCATGGTTCTGGCCACTCACCCCGTCGTGTGCCGTGCCGACTTTCATAGGTGCTCGCTGACAGCACTTGCCCCAACAGTCTGTTAAAGGCTGTACGCGGGAGGTCTTTGTTTTTTTGTGTACTATTGTGTTTGTGAATGGGAGTGTGTCGGAATGTGTTGGTGTGTCACTGTGTGGTGTGGGTGACCGTGTCGGTCTGCGAACCTGTCTGTTAATTCGTTCGTGTGTCTATGTGTTGGTGTCTGACTGCATGGTAACGATTAATGTGTAAGGGTGTCATCGTTGGTGTAGCCGCGTGTCAATCTGTGTGGGTCAATGTTGGTTTGTGCCCGTGTCGATGCGTGTGTCAGTGTTGGAATGTCCGTGTGTCAGTGTTGGTATGTCTGTGTGTGCGTTTGATGGTGTGTTTGTCAAATGTGCGAGCGTCTTCGTGTGTCAGTGTTGGTATGTCAGCGTGTTCGCGTGTTGTCAAGTGCGCTCGCAAACGGTACTTGCCCCAGGAGTATGTTAAGGTTATACGGGGGATCTTTGTCTTGTGTGAGTTAGAGAGAGGGGTGGAATTGTTGGGGTCTCTGGACAGGTGAGGGTGTGAGACCCCCCACACCCCGTGCCCCGCCCCTCCACTCGCTCCGCTATTTAAGCGCCAGGCGGCCACGGGAGACGAGAGTTGGGAGACGCGGAGGAGAAGGAGACCGGGCCGAGCGCGGCGGCTCCACGCCGGGGACGTTTAGGCGGCCCCCAGACGCCGAGTCGCCACCAACATCAGAAGTCGACGTCTGTCCCCTCGCCGGGACGCCGGGTCCCCTGCTCTACTCCACCGCCTCGCCCCAGGGCCCACATGGGGCCCGCGGGGTAGCGACCCCGCTTCTCGGGGAGCCGGGAGAGTTGGAGGCGGTGGGGGGGGGCACGGCCCCCCATGTGGAGAAGACGACACGGGGCCCTGGGGCCCCTGCTTCTGCTGCTGCTGCTGTTGCTGCTGTTCGCGGTCACAGCACAGGTGCGCGCGGTTGCTGGTGGTCAAACGAGCGTGGATAATGAAGGCGGTTAGTGTCGGTGGTGAATGAGCGTGGTTGGGGAGCGTGGTCTGCGCCATCAGTCACCGCGTGATGGGGTCACGCTCGACGGCGCTCTCATTAAAACCACCGCTGGCTGAGTCGTTTGGCACTCTGTGGTTACCGAGAAGACGGTAACGCGCGGGTTCATTCCGGAGATATTTAACGCCAGAGAGCGAGAGGCAGCTCGCACTAATTGGAATGTCGCGAGTTCAAAGCCGGGTTGGCGGGTGTTGACTCAGCTCATCATACTTCCCTCTGGGGCGATAAAATTGGTACCACCCTGTGGGGAAGATCAACAATGGTTGTGATTTAGATCGACTTGCCGTCACCATATGACCGCGGAATTTTCGCCGCTGTCTCTGAATGGCTGTTTTGAGGTTTGAAAGAAAACTACGCTTCTTATTTTAAACTAAACTAATTGTTTTTATTTCCAACTAAACTATTTTTTTTATTTTAAACTAAACTATTTTTTTATTTTAAACTAAACTTTTTATTTTACCAGGTAAGGCCCATTGAGGGATACAGCTCTTTTATTTGTAAGCAACCTGGCTACAAATGATAGCTTATCGCCTGGAAATGTATAGCAGCCATACACTCTAAACGCATGTTTCTAAATGTGGAGGGGAAAACCGGAGGACCCAGAGAAAAATCCATGCGACAACGGGGAGATAGACCATGCAAACTCCAAATACACAACAGGCTTCGGGATCGAACCCACGACCTGCAGACCAGGCGAGGTAGTTAAACATCTCGCTACCGCGGCGCACCAATGCCTCACTGCTCATCTGAGCAGCCGCAAAACGCTTTGCCTAAATATAATCCGGGTCCGACTGTGTCAGACGAGGCGAAAGCAGAGAGATCCTTCATTGAACCAGGTGGAAGCCCTCAGGGCATGCGTCTCCGCAGTCTCGACCTGGTTATTAGCAGGGACGCAACTTTGAGGTATACGGCAGCTTTACGTGACGCCACAACAAGTAAAAACATGTTAATAGAAAATTATTCTGTTAATTGTTTTATTGTAAAAATGTACCTGCGGGTCTCCTCCGGACCAAAGCCGAATAGAGAAGAAGGTTGGGCGATCCACCCCCTTTGAGGAAATCCTAGACCGATTGACCGGCATGAAAGCAAGACGCATGATAACTTAATTGTGAGTATTGTACCTTTACATTTTTTTTAAATCAATAACGTCACCGTGAGACTGTCTTCCTCTAAACCTAATACACGGTGCAGCTAAAATAGTATATACATAGTTATAGCCTAACATTGTATACAGGGTAAAAACATTCGTAGCTATTTCCGGAAAAGTGAGTCGGGAGAAAGGAGGGGGGCCCACAGTGGTATCTTGGATAGCCCCCCCCCCCCCGTTGGAATATGTCGTTGTGCCCCTGGTGATTAATCGACGTGAACGCGCGTTGGGGTTCATCAGAGGGGTTCACATTTACCCCAAAATCCTGCTCAATTTGCGACGAACATCGGGGTAGACTGCACATAGACTGTAATTACAGAGTGTGATGAACCACAGTCAAGATTCATCACTTTAGTGTCTGGCCACACACGGGTGCTCCTGACGAGTCCGCGGTGGTTGTGCACGCCTGTGATACTCGCGCTTGGGAGGCAGGGGTTGGTGGATCACACAGAGATTTGTGAAACGCTCTGTTGCGCTGCGAGATGCTCAGGCGATGGCAGTGCCGCAAATGGGTTTACGAACACGTCTGTGTGGACCTTTGAGCATCATCCCCGGGTCCGCGTGGTGGGTTTTCTTCCGGTTCCTCCGGCATGAATCCAAACTCTCATGGCCGAATATCCCAATGGAGCAGGACCCTCCTGCAAGTGTGTTTGAGACTCGGATTCTTTTGTCTGAATTAGTTGAGCGCTGGTATGGTTCAGAAGCGCGCGGTCACAGCTGAACATTACAGAGCAAACACTGACAAGTTCGCAGAATCGCATCGAGAATGATACAGCGGCAGAAAGAGGAGCGTGTGGATTAGGGAAGATACGCAGGTTAGAGACATCACCCAAACTGCTCAGAAACGTGAGTGGGGCTTGGGCAGGACACGGCACAGCCGGGAGGGACCATAGCCAAGAATAATAATGGAGCGGCAGCCTAGGAATGGAACACGATTGAGAGCACCTCCACCGGGGAGTTGGATAAATGAAATCAGTTCACCTGCAGGTGCTGGATGGATCGTCACATCGCAGGATCGTCACATCGCAGGATCGTGAGAGGTGGTGGTGGCTTGGGGAGGCCTTCATCCAGCAGTCGATCGATCATGGCTGGTCATTATTATTTTGAAGGACCGTGCGAGTTCACAGAAGCAGAGATTCCCGGTTTGGTGTGGTCACAATGAGTCTCTTCTGTGTGACCTTGCACTATGCACACTACACACGCGCACCACGGGTCATGCGTGAGACTGGCGAGTGGCAACGTGAAACGAGGGAGGTCACGAACCCAGCTGACCTCGCTTGCTCTCTGTGTCACTTCCAGGCGGGGCTCGGCCGCGGGCGACACAGGGCGCAGCTCACCCTGCCAGGTGAGTGCGCAGGTGTGTGCACATATGTACGCACACACCTGGTCAGGGCCTATGCTACCATCAATAAGCCAGGGCTCTAGGTTATTATTCATGCTTTCGGGGTCCCTGACCTGCTCACAATCCTTAAGGGCCTTCATGATGGTGCGCAGGCCTGGGTAAAGTTGCGTAGCCGGGAATTGGGAGCCATTCGCTGTTCACCTTGGGGTGTGACAGGGATGTCCTCTAGTCCCTACACTGTTTAACATCTTCTTTGACCATGTAGTTCGCGAAGCTTTCCATGGCTGTACCAGAATAATTTCCATCTGGTACAAATACAATGGGCGGCTGATCGATGCGTGAGTGTGGTTAAGGGATGTGGCTCTCGATTGGTCAATTATGTTAAGTTTGCTGATCATATGGCAATTGCTGCTCACTCTGGGAAAGAGTTCGAGACTCTTCTGCTGTCATCAAATACTCCACCACCTCCCCTCCCCATGAGTGAAGGGGCAGTTTTGGAGAGTAGTGGAGTACCCTTACATGGGGATGGTGCTTATGACCAGCTCCGGTTTGGCAACAGAGGACTTTTCACTTCGCATCGGTAAAGCGACATTTCATGAACTGCGTAAGTAACTGTGTGAAAGCTGCCTGGTCTGTCGCGTCAGACGAAGCTCCGGATCTTCTCGGCTAGTGCACGCGTGGCTTTGAGCGTACGCACGGCCGGTGTAACGGCGAATGTTCCACCACCCAGTGGTGCGCCTGGAGGAGGTGTGGCGCCGCTCGCAGTGCCGCCCCGCGGAGCGCATGGTGTCCGTGGCCTCGGAGCGGCAGGGCGCCGTGGAGTGGTTCTTCCGCCCAGCGTGCGTCGCCCTGCGCCGCTGCTCGGGCTGCTGCGGGGACGAGTCGGCCCGATGCGAGGCCACGGCCACGGCCAACGTCACCCTGCAGGTGAGGAGGGTCGCATGGCAGGGCCCCCGAGATCCACCCCCCGGTGATTCCACAAAGGGGTGGTATTTTTGTTTCACATCCGGCACACTGCATCCGGTATACCTATCGCGATTGTTCTTCGTGATGTGCCTATACTCCAGTCTACGGGGGAACAGGAACACGGAGTGAAAAACGAAGGCGTGGGTAGCAATAATGAAATAGGATCAATCAATCAAGTCTTTATTTCTATAGCACTATTTCGTGCAAAAGAAGCCATTCAAAGTGCTGTCCAGGTAAAATAAAAATTGTTAAAATAAATTTTGATTTAAAGCTTTCGTAACTGCAGGGATTCATATTCTTGGTTCTTTCGGTAAAGTCACGTAGAAGGGAAACAATAAAATAATAAAAATATAAAACAATAAAATTCTCACGACGGTTTCGACTGCAACACAAGCAATCATCATCAGGTGTGAAAACCACAACAAGATAATTTGAAAAAAGTGGCGGTTTAAAAAAAAAGCCACTTTTTTCAAATTTTCTTGCTGTGGTTTTCACACCTGATGATGACTGCTTGTGTTGCAGTCGAAACGTCGTGAGAATTGTATTGTTTTATATTTTTATTATTTTATTGTTTCCCTTCTACGTGACTTTACCGAAAGAACCAAGAATATATTGTTAAAAGACTAAAGTGCAAGAACAATAAAAGCAATTTCCAGACAAAACAAAATCGCATTATAATAATTTGCTAACAAAGGCATATTAAAAAAACACACTGTCAAATAATCTTAAGTAAAAGCAAGTTTAAAAAAGTAAGTTTTTAGATTTAACGTGAAATATCCTCATGATTGTGAAGCCCTCAGCTCCCCTGGCAGGCTGTTCCACTGGCGAGGATTCTGATTGGCTCTAACATTGTTGATCGTCGCCTCAGTGTTCGCCACGAGCCCCCTGCTCGGTAACAAAAACACGTGCGGTAGGCTGACGTTTTGGGCAAGGGCCCTACTTCAGAGGGGACAGCAGACAGTGAAGAGCGCAGCAAGGCGGCACTTTGCAATGTGGCGCAGTAAACATGACCGTGATGGATCGGCGCTTTGGATTTGACGCGAGCGGCCTGATTCCATCGGCAGGTATTGTGTAACAAACGATTCGCGCTCATGATTTGAAAGAGGATGGCTGGTGGGATGTGGAAAAGACTTTTTTTTATGTAGAGGGACAGGTATGTGGAGGAGGCAAATTGTCTGCTTGTTGATATAAGGAGGTTGGGTGATTTGGAAGGATGGGTGATTGGGTGGTGGGGAGGTTGGGGTTTGGATGGTTGGGTGTGGCACCGCGTGCCGTTGACCTTGTTTCGTGTCATCCCCAGGTGTTGCTGATCAGGCCGCTCCAGGATCATCGCCTGGAGGAGATGACGTTTGTGGAGCACACGGCGTGCGAGTGCAGGTGAGCGGCCCGCTCGTTCACCCACTCACTCGCATATCGACTCATTCACTGTATAACAGCCGTCATTTGCCACTTAGTGGCCATGATGTCACTACGGTGCTTGTGCCAGGCGAGGTACAGATCGAGGTGCTGACTGATTGAGATGACAGGGAGATCCACCACCTGTGCTCCCCATTGTGCCAACTTGCGTTTTAGCTGCCCGTTGCTCCACTCGTTGGTTGTTGTGAGCGTCGCTCCTCCACCCTCCGTTGTTGATGGAAGGCGACTGCCTCCAAATGCCCAGTAGCATCCTTCACGAGCTTCCTCCATCGAGGCCGATCTGGACACCGCTGTTACCAGTCATCGGCAAGTCCAATCGGCTCCACATCCTCCTGTACCACATCAGTCCATCTCTTCTCTAGCCTGTGGTGCATCCGTTTAGTTTCCTCAATCCAGCCGAACAAAAGCTGTTTGGGCATGCGGTGGCTGGACATGCGGGCTAACGCAGCCTTGCCTACTGGAGGAGCTCACTGATGGGACTGCGTCCAAATGTTTGGACACAATCCCATCCTCACAAACGGAATGTTTCAAACAGGCGCAGATGTTCCTTCAGAGGGGTCCACGTTTCACAAGCATAGGTAAGGGAGGATATAGCTGTGGCTGAGAAGACCTGGAGCTTCTTGTGGAGCAAAAGACTAGGTAGCTTCATCACAACATTGTGCAACCGATGAAAATATAATGGCGCTCAACTGATTCTGAGTGAAACCTCCGCTGCCAAACCAGAACTCGCCATAAGCACTCACCCTTTCACTCAATCACACACTCACGCACACAAAGCCCCCCCCCCCCCCCCCCACATAGCCCACAAAGCCTGTTGGGGCAAGTTCTGTTTGTGAGCACATATACGCACACACAGACACACATGGATGCGGGGTAGAGGGGCGTGCAGTGCGAGTTTCCTGCAGGGGGTCCCCTCTCGTCTCACTTGCCGTCTCTCCCTCGCAGGGAGCCCGCCCAGCAGCAGCCGCCGCCGCCGCAGCAGCAGCCGGCGCCAGAGAGGTGAGGGTGCGTGACCGCGCGTGTCGCTCCGATCGGTTTTGTTTGGTTCCGTGGCCGTTGTGAACGTTGCGGTCACGGTTAACGGCCATCACGGGGCACGTGCGCGCTGCAGTCACGAGAGTCACGGTGTGTCCCTCTGCTCGCTCGCAGCCGGACACCGCATCGCAACGGGAAGAAAGAGCCGGGTGTCAGGAGAGAGCGGAAGAAACACGGCCGCAAGCCGCCGAGCAAGTGAGTGCGCCTAGCCTGGCACAACGTCCATTCCAACGCGCGGTCTCATTTAGAACGGGTGCGAGTGAACGATGGCTCTACCAAATCGTCTTCAGGGCTATCGCTCGCTCGATGGGGCAACACGAACACATTTGAGAAAGCCTCACTTCTTTGCACCTGTACCACAGGACGGGAGGTGGTGTGTGGGGTTTGCTGACATCGTTGTTAGAACAGATCGACTCACAGCAACCAGAATGTCGAGAGTTCAAATAAAGGTCGGGGGGGGGGGGGGTTGACCTACCCCATCAACCCTTCCTCCAGCGTCGATAAAATAAAAATAACTTTGTGGCGAATTTAACAGCGTTTGTCCTATGGACTCGCCCCCGTCACAGGCGACAGAGGAATGTGGATTTTTTTCCCACCACTGGCTCTGCAGGGGCGTGAAGAGGAGATGAGTGCCGCCTCCATTGAGCAGCAGCACCTCGCGTCGCCTCTCGTTACCATGATCAGGTCCACACGGATCTCTCCTGTCAGCCACGCAAGCGTGATGCCAGTGTACTGGCGGTGCTGCCCGTGATACCAGTGTACTCTTTGTGCTACCACCCCGCCACCACGCAGTGCCCCCGGGTGCCCCCCCTGTGCCCCCCGCCACGCGCACCTCTACCGGCAGGACGCACGCACGTGCCAGTGCGCGTGCAAAGCCACAGACGCGCGGTGCCGGCGGCGAGGCCGCGTGTTCAACCCACACACGTGCAGGTGCTGCGCACGAACACACGCACAATAACACACTATAGCCTTAACAGGCTGTTGGGGCAATTGCTGTTAGCGAGTAGCACTGATGAAGGCCGGCGCAGCACACGAGGGGGTGGGTGGCCAGCAATCACGCCTGGCTGCCTTTGCCTCTCTCTCGAGACGATGTTTACACACAGCACAAGGTACTTATTTCAGGCTTAGTCGACCTAGGAGAAGCTCAAGATGGGTTCAGATCATTGTCACCAGTTTTGGCCATGGGTGGGAATCGAACTTAGGGCACTGTGTTTGTAGTGTAGTGCCCTAACCACTGTGCCACCACTCCCCACTCTAATGCGGTATGAGCCGTTGGAATACGCGGCGCCGTATGCTTCACAGCGGACGTTAAAAAATCCGTGACATCATTAAAATAAGAGTAGGCCATTGTGTGCCAGAGTTACGGTGCAAATTTGAAAAATTACATTGCCAATGACTCAAGTGGGAAAACCCGGCAGGACCCTCCTGAAAAAGGTTCTTTAAGACTCAGTGAAGGTTTGCTGGCTAAACAAGCAGAGCAATAACACAATCATAATTGTCTCATGGCACAACCTCCGCTCTTTCTTCTTACATGCTAGCTGAGTACCCGTCTTCACAGACCCTCGTTTTCCGCCACAGGCATGTCCTCCCTCCTCCCCTCTCCACCTCTCTGCTCGCTTGCCCCCAACCTCTCATTAAGCGTGCAGCATGCGGGATGTGGACATAGAGTGTAGGCGCTTTCTTAACCCATCGGCGACCCTGGCCGCGCCACGCATCGCGTCCCAATGCCTTGCGTCCCTCCTCCGCCTCGCAGGTGCAATGGCCGTCGGAGGAGGAGGAGGTGGGAAGCTCTGAACAGGAGCGGCTCGACGTCGCCACCGCGGCCACCGTGAGGAGTCGGGGGACAGCGTCCTCGGTCTCCACGTGGCTCCGTCCCCCAGGGCGACACGGGGCTTGGGGCAGGAGGAGGCTGGTCCCCGGGGCCCCACGCGGCCCCGCGTCTTCCCGGGGGCCCCACGTCTCCCAGAGTGGCTCCGCGTTTCCCCGAGTGGCTCCACGTGCCTCTCGCCTGCCGTAGTTTGGACTGGCTGAGATATTTATAGTTGTCTGACGGATACTTTACAGCACCCCGTAGAGCGCCTGTCGTGCGTTGAGCTTTGTGACGCACAGGTAGGAAGGAGAGCGCTGCGCAGCGTCCGTGCAAGCCGTGGTCCGTCACGTTGTGATCAACGCGCACGCAGTCACGCACATACACACACGCATTCCCCTCTCATCTCACTCCACTGCAGAAACCTGGAGCAGAGGCACCGTGTCTCAGTTTCAGCTCCGAGTGCCACATGCACCATCACCATAATCATCACCACCATCACCATCTCCACCACGACGGGCCCACGCTCGGTCCCCTGGTCGGCCCTGCGTGGCACTCACCGATTATTTCACGCTCTGCGTTGCGCGTGTCGCTTTTGTGCGCGAGGTTATTTTTCATTAAAAAAAGTCAAAGCGATTTTATGCTTAAATGACCATTGACTCATTGGTGCTCATCTTCTGGTTACTGCCCTGCAGAGCCGGTGGTGGAAATTCCACATTCCTATGGCGGGGGGTGTGGGGGGGGGGTTCTTACGCCAGAGAACAACGGCTGTTTTCCCACATTATTGGTACCCATTGTATCAACCCCGGAGGAAGTTGGTGATGATAGGGCGAGTCATCCGCCCCAACCAGGATTTGAACTCGCGCACCTTCACGGTTGCTGAGAACCACTCGCTCCAGCGTGGTCGGTTTGTATCGTTGGTGGTTGCAATCGATGGGACGTTTCCCTTGCGACCACGAGTGGAGCTACACTCCTCGCCACTTGGATCTACTCGCGTCTCCGAATCGTAACAATTCGCCGAGGTTTGATGGGAGGGGCTAATTATGGGCTCGTTAATTACTGTGTAACCATGGGAGGCGTGGATAAGCCCCTGTGGAATGTATTGATGATAGAAGAGTGAGGATCGGTGAGGATGAAGAGTGGTGAAAGTGATGAGGTGAAAGTGATGAGGTGAGTGGCGGTGAGGAGTGCTGGGATGATGAGGTGAGTGGCGGTGAGGAGTGGCGAAAGTGATGAGGTGAGTGGCGGTGAGGAGTGGTGAAAGTGATGAGGTGAGTGGCGGTGAGGAGTGGTGAAAGTGATGAGGTGAGTGGCGGTGAGGAGTGCTTGGATTAATGATAGGGGCGTTGAGAGGTGAGGAGTAACAGTAGAGGGCGCAGGAGCGACGCTCACGACGGACGAGCGGAGCGCCGGCGGGATAAGTTGGCACAGTGGGGGGCACAGGTGGTGCGTCTGCCAGTCAGCCCATGGCACCTGGGCCTGTCCAGTAACCTGTCAGCAGCGAGCCTTCGACACTTGACGTGAGCTCAGCGCGCACCTAGCCTGGCACAAGCGTCGTGGTTTGACGTTGACGCCACCTCGTGGCTAACGGGCGGCTTGCTGGAGATGCAAATAGCGATCACGTGCTCGGCTGTGATGGTCACGTGGCTCACCCCGCCCCGCTCCCCCCGCGTCGTCACGTGGCTTCCCCCCCCCCACCCTCGGCGTCGTCACGTGCCCCCCCTCTCACGCCCCCCTCCCCCGCATCATCACGTGGCTGACCCCCCCCCGTAGCTCTCCCCGCAGGTCCCCCCACCCCTCCCGCCCCGGGCGCGCCACCCCCCCCCCCACGCGGCCCCCATCACGTGGCTCGCGAGAGACTCTGCCCCGCCCACCGCGTGACGTCACTCCGCCCCGTCTCCTCCTCCTCCTCCCCGCCGCTCGCTCGCTCTCTCCGCTCTCCGCCATGGGCGCCTCGCGTTCCCGCTCGGCGGACTTCACGTGGAGCTACACGGAGCAGCCGCACGCCGAGCGCCGCCGCCAGATACTGGGTACGTAGCGAGGGCCGCGTGGGGTGGGTTGAGGTGTGGGGGGGGGGGTAGAGACACGCGGACGACGCGGGAGCCGGCGAGAGCGGCGCTTCCCGTGGCCTCCTGCAAACGGGGCCCGGGGGCCTCCCCGGTCAGCGACGAGAGGAGACGCCCGGAGAGGGCCGGGGCAGTCGCGGGGCGAGGTAGGCAGCGGGGGGGTGGGAAAGGGGTCTCGCTAAGACTCGTCCTGGCCCGTGAGGCGGGGGGGGGGGGTCTCTGGGTTGTTTCACATTGGAAGGCTGGGGGAGGTCTAGGAGGGGGTCTGGGGGGGGGGCTCAACTGAGGGTCTATGGCTCTGGTTGTCTCGGTGGGGGACTCTAGAAGGGTCTTGGGGGTTGGGGTGAGATCTGTCTCTAGAGGGGGGTCTAATGGTGGGGTCCTGGCTCAAAACGGTCTGGCTCTAGGGAGTGGCAGGGGAGTTGCCCCGCTGAGTCAGCTCCTCGCCGTGTGTTGACCACTCGAGTCGCCGTTGACGCGGCTGTGAGGAGGAGGAGAAGGAGGAGGAGGTCGGCGCGTGCCGGGCGGTCATCGCTGCGCGCTGGGGATTCCCTCGCCCACCGTTGGTCCGTCCGACCGTGATTGAAGACCGCCGACGACGTTGCTGTTGTTAATGCGCGCATCCCCGAGCCCGGCGCAGGGAGTTGAGGAGGAGGAGGAGTGGGTGGCGTCTTCGTGGCGGGCCGTGGCGAGTGAAGCCTGTCGAGTCTCTGCCGGGCGAGGACTTGTGAAGTCGATGACTCTGGAAGGCAGGATGAGCCGCACATCGCAGAGCGCGAATGCGTCCCGCGCGCCTCACGGCAGGCAGTAACGACGCAATCGGTGACCGAAGCCAAATTTAATCTGCAGTAGGTGAAGCTATTGCGATTGGTGACCTTTGAGACTGTTGCAAATGTGAGAAGTCTCAGCAGTTTCGACACCCCCTGCCGCGTGGCCCGTGTTGAACTCCTGGCACGGCATTCAAGGGGGGCGGAAGGGGGGGGGGTGTGTTGAGGGACCGCGCAAGTCAAGGGACGAGAGTCTGCGCCACCTCATCATCCACCGAGCGCCGCGCGTACGCACTCGCGCCCTGTGCACGGCCTCGCCTCCGTGGTCAACTCTCGGGACTAAGTTAGACAGAGCCACACGGTCTCGTCTCGGCCACTCGCCCCCCAACACTGCAGGTCACGACAACTCGCCCAAAGATGCCCCCCCCCCGTATAGCCTTGGCAGACTGTTGGTTGCAAGTGTTGTTAACGAGAATCTATTCAGGCCGACACGACACACGAGGGGGTGGGTGGCCAGCAACCACGCCCGGCCGCCTTTATCTCTACAGCGGCGATGTTTACACATTGTACCAGGGACTCTTTTGAGGCCGAGTCGACCTAGGGAAGGCTCGGAACCAGTTCAGATAAAAAGTTCCCGGTGTTGGGCCATAAACGGGATGATAACGTGGGTCACTGGGCTTGTAGCGCACTCCCACGCCAGTCACCCACCCACTTTGCTCACCCACTCATACAGTATTCCCAGTCATTACCTTACCCACTCACAAACTAGGGCACTAGGATGGCGAGATATTAACAACCTCGCTTGGTATACAGGAGATCGTGGGTTCGAACCCAACCCTGACGTCTGCTGTATATTTTGGAGTTTGCCTGTTTTCTCGCCCCGTGTTGGTTGTGAATTTTTATTCGGGTTCTCTGGTTTTTACCTCCACATTTAGAAACATGCATTTAGAGCAATTTGGCGACTATAAGCAGCTTCGTTGAGCTGTCATTTGTGTCCAGGTCACTTCTGAAAAATAACTATATAGCTCAGTGGGCCTTATCTGGTAAATACATTTTTAAAAAAAAACTCCAAATGACTGCTCTTGTCGACTTCTTCACATTACTTACAGAATTCTTTGCAGCAGCGTTGGTTGGTAAGTGCTGCTTACCTGCACTGTGTAAAGAGTTGTCCGTTCACGCCACGTTTACATGACCATGAAGGGCACGCTCCTGAGTAAATGCTGACCTCCACGGTGCCTGCACACAGTGACTGGTGCCGCTGTGTGATGCCCAAAACACGCTCTCGCTTGTGTGCAAACGCCGAGTGCTATGTGACCACATCGCGCGCTTTGTTGCCACATCACGCGCTTTCAGATGCGCTTCTGCGGCCGTCTGGAAGGCTGTTCTTTCCGAAATTAGGAAGCCACTGGAGCTATGCACTTTTTAAGTCTAAATTTAAAACGAATTTCTTTAGAACTGCCTTTTGTGTTTTGTTTGTTGTCCTTCCCCGGACCTCCGATGAGGCCGATTGAGTGCGTACGTTGCGAAAAAAGTTCAACATAAAAACATACATATCCCGATCGATGCCTTCCACAGAGAAATATCCGCAGATCAAGACCCTCATGGGCTCTGACCCCCGCCTCAAGTGGATCATCCTGGCCATGGTGCTAGCACAGCTGGTGGCCTTCTACCTGGTGAAGGACCTGCCGTGGAAGTGGGTCATCTTCTGGGCCTATGTGTTTGGAGGCTGCATCAATCACTCAATGACTCTGGCCATCCACGAGATCGCACACCACGTGGCCTTTGGGAGCAGCCGTGTGCAGTGGAACCGCTGGTATGGCATGTTCGCCAACTTGCCCATTGGCCTGCCCTACTCCATCTCATTCAAGAAGTACCACCTGGACCACCACCGCTACCTGGGTGCTGACGGCGTGGACGTGGACATCCCCACGGACTTCGAAGGCTGGTTCTTCTGCACGACGGCGCGCAAGCTCGTGTGGATCCTGCTGCAGCCACTCTTCTATACGGTGCGGCCGCTCTGCATCAACCCCAAGCCCTTCACCCACATGGAGTTCATCAACATCGCGGTTCAGGTGGCCTTCAACGCGCTGGTGTATGCGCTGCTGGGAGCCAAGCCTGTGGTGTACATGGTGGCCGGCTCGCTGCTCTGCATGGGCCTGCACCCCATCTCGGGTCACTTCATCGCTGAGCACTACATGTTCCTCAAGGGCCACGAGACGTACTCCTACTATGGGCCGCTCAACATGCTCACGTTCAACGTGGGCTACCACATGGAGCACCACGACTTCCCCAGCAT